AGAGAGAGAGAGAGAGAGAGAGAGAGAGAGAGAGAGAGAGAGAGAGATTGAGAGCAAGTAAATCTGAGTGAGTGAGAGATCAATCTCAACTTAGATGAAGCCATTAGAAGGAATGACAGAAAAATTCCTAGAAAAATCTAGTTTAAAGAAATACAGAAAGCAATCTTACGTCATCTCTCACGTAGGCTGCCTCAGTACTAGTACTCTGTACTTAAGGTTCAGATAGGGACAAAGTCACGCACATTTCCAAGATCTACACTGTTGCTATCTGCACCATCTCTGGGAAGTGGGAAGGGAGCAGGTGGAAGGGAACAGAAGCGACCCTCTGCTAGGCTGTGTGACTGAGCGAGGAGGCTTGAGACACACTGTACAGTGAGTGCAGCTGTACTTGGGTATCCATGACTGATCAGGGACTGGCACCTCATGGATACCCAGATCCCTGATGATCAAGTCTCTTGTATAGAATGAAGTCATTTGTGCTCACTTGTTTTATGTTAACTTGACATGTTAGAGTCGTTAAGGAGGACTTCAAGGCCTGTAAGGCATTTTCTTATTTACTGATTGATGTGGAAGGGCCTAGGCTGGTACGGATGGTGCCACTCCTAGGCTGGTGGTCCTAGATTCTATAAGAAAGCAGGCTGAGCAAGGCATGGAGATCAAGCCAGTAAGCAGCACCCTTCCATGGCCTCTGCATCAGCTCCTAACTCCAGGTTTCTTCTCTGAGTTCCTGTCCTGATATCCTTCAATGATGAACAGTGACGTGGAACTGTAAGCTCAATAAACTGTAAGCCAAAGCATCATCCCCAAGATGGTCATGGAGGCCAGAGCATAATCTTGTGATTCATTCTTCAGATTCTTTGTAGCTTTGAAGGCACAGGCTTCCCCTTCAGGAAAGTTAGAGATCTGGCTGGGGTTGGGGATGGGGTGGGAATGAGGATTGGTCCCCAATGCAAGTGTAACAACAGCTCTGCTCCAGCAGGAGAAGATTTCCCGAACAAAAGTGTTACACAGCTCTGCTCAGAGATATCCTGGCAATCCTGAGCCAACAAATACCACAAAGTCTGAGCACACAACAAATTTCATACAGGAAATTTATTGGAAGGGAAAACCCCAGAATTTGCCTCTCTATTCCAGCCAGTGCTTTTGGTGCTCTTGTACTTTTTTTTTTTCTTCAAATCTGTGTTCTGGGGCTGGAGAGATTGCTCAGTGGTTAAGAGCACTGACTGCTCTTCCAGAGACCCTGAGTTCAATTCCCAGCAACCACATGGTGGCTTACAACCATCTATGATGGAATTCAGTGCTCTTTTCTGGTGTGTCTGAACACAGCAACAGTGTACTTACATATGAATAAATAAATAAATAAGTAAATAAAATCTTTAAAACAGCTGTATATATTCGGGTTGTGTGTGTGTGTCTCAATGAGTTTACTTAAGGTTGCTTATAGGAATGTATGCAATTTACCACTGACTATCTACCATTGAAGACAGTGCCTTTTCTTCTCTTTTAAGCCTATGGATCCTGGGGGTAGGGTGAATGGGGGCTTAAGTGGGTGAGGGATAATGAGTCCTTTTCCCTAGCAACCGTTAACTGCTGCCAAACTCGGGGATGGGCGGGGTCTCACGAGCCTTTCCTCGTCAAGTGACTCCTAAAGTCACTTTCAAAATCGACAGTTCTGTAACTCAGAGATTTACCTAGCGGGGAGGGGAGAGTAGATTGGAATTTCTGACTTGATTCGCGGCATTACACGGGTTAATCAAAACGAGAAACTACATTTCCCGACAGGCCTCGGGATCGTGTCTCTCCCACCCTTTGGTTTTGAGCTACCAATGACAGTTAGATATTTGAATAGACCAATAGTAACAGGGAATTGTTCTTATTTAGGCGGGACCATAGTACAATCCAATCGTAGAGGGCTTAGAAAAACATCCTAGCCAATCTAAGGGCTAAGGGGCGGAGCCTGAGGCAGGGCCGTAGACCAAGCTGCCGCGGAAGATGGCGGCTGAGGCGCTGAGTGGAGGGGAGGCGCCGGTCTGCGACTCCGGCCGGAGGTGAGCCAAGTTTTCCGTCCTGCTGCCTTGGAGACGGGACTGTGGGCTAGCGATGTCGCTGCCCTGCCCTTGAGTCACCGTGGTCCACAGGGCCGGGCTTTGTTTCTTGCTCCCGTGGTATCTACGCCGACGCACCTGCGGGGGCTGGGGCTCGTCGCTCCGGTCTGTGGTCCCCGCTGCCCTGTTCTCCGCGAGTCCCGCGGCCGTGCGTGGAGCCCTCCCGGCGCTCTGGCTGCAGAGCCTGGGGCCGCGGCTGCGGTGTCTGCCCTGCCGCCGAACGTTTTGAATGAAAACTGAAGCCCAGAGCGGATTAGAGAATCCCCACAACGTCCCGGGAGCTTTAAATGTCCTTCGTGACAGCCTCTGCGCTTCAGTCAGAGCCGCGAATTGAGTGATGATTATAAGGGATTTTTGTCCCCAAGCTGGCTGACCTCTCTCGGCTTCAGCTTTTCTCGTCTGTAAATGAGCATAACGATACTTATTTCAGAACGTGGACAGAATGACACAACCTTTTTAAAGCACATAGCACCCACCCTGGCAAATACTATTCAAAATACAATAGATTTTATGTTTCGTTGAAATTGTGACCTCATTTCTTCTTTCTTGAATGGGCACTGTCCCTGTCATAAGGCCAAGGCCGTCTTAACTGATTACAAATATTGAGGACTGATACACTCCAATAGAATGAGATTATTTACATTGTCTGAGAGTATGAGCAATGCTATGCTTTGGGGTATGGAGTTAGTACAGAACAGAATATTCAAGACTTTTGGGAAACCAAGTCTGTGAGCCCGATTCTTCCTGAGCCCCGATGGGGTTGTTTGAGTACGTTACTGTTTTGTATGGAGGAGTTTTCCTCTCTTTGACCTACCCATAAATGGTTGACCTTTTTTCTCCTGGGAACTGTGCCCACGGGTTGGTAAATGTCATTAGATTATCCCTCATCCAACTCGAAAATCCTGAATTGTAATGAAAATGAGGACAAATGAAATACTGTTCTACAGCAAGAGGACTTTGAATTCTTCCTTGAGGCGAGACTGCCAACTGAATGTAAAGTTTGAAACTGTTAACTGAATGATCAACACAGTGTTCTCTGAATCTGAAACTTTCCATTGCCGTTATTGAGACAGGTTCTTGCTAAATAGCTAGGCTGGATTGGAACTCCCAATCCTGTTTCAGCTTCCGGTGTACTTGTCAATTGCATATTACAGGAGATTAGTTTGGGGTTCTTGTGAGGCTTATTTATTTACTTTTTTTTTTTAAAAATAGAACCCCCCCCCCATATAATGCAGGGGACTCCAATGTTGAGCTTCTGAACCTCCTTCCTCTAGCTCCCAAGTGTGGGAATGACAGGCATATGTCACCAAGCCCTGTTTTATGTGGTGCTGGACTTCGTGCATGACTGAGCTGCATCCCCAGCCCCATTTAATTAATGGGACTGATAATTTTTAAACCTATTATTTATCGGACTTGAGCATGCTTGTGCACACTTAAGTACCACAGTGCATGCACAGGAGAGCAGAAGGTGACTCAGTTCTCTTCTTCCACCAAGTGGATTTGAGGGTCACACTTGTGCTGTGAGGCTTAGCAGTAGGTGCCTTTACTCACTGAGGCATCTCACTGGCCTAGGTGTGTAGCCTAGCATTTACAGCTATGCTGCATAACTCTGTTTTTGGTATCTCAAGCTTGTTCTGAGGAGACGTTCACTCTATGAGAAGAGCTTCTGTGAGATCCATGTCTTGCACCAGTGGTCATAGAAATGGCTGTGGATTCAGTACTGGGCAGTAATATATATAATTAATATCTTTGGGAACCGAAGGGCTTGCTCTAGGAAGAAAAGCGAGCGACAAGGAGGGATGATGGCGGTCTGTTAGACCACTGAGATGTTGAGGATTGCTTGGCAGGATTCCTTACATTGAGCCTTGGTAGTCCTGTCTCAAGTTGGGCATTTGCCCTGCATTGGATTCTCTTCACTGTCGTGATCTGGAGAAGTTGAGCTCCATGCTTACTGAGCAAACTCATTAAGAACAGGTACGGATCTAAAGCCTCCTTTAATCTGTGTTCCTTTTTCAAATAGTGATGATTTAATGGTCTGCTTAGTAAATACTAATACAAACATTTGAAGTTTTAAAGTGCTGTTATTTTAAAAACTTTACAAGTATCTATGTATAAAATTATATCTGTATGTTCTGGGATTTGGAGATTTATAAAAGAGTCAAGTTGATTTAGGAGGTTGAATGTTCTTTTATTAACTGAAGCCCCCAAATGGGATTTTGCTGATTCCATTTAATTTAGAAGAGACTGGAATTAAAACCTCATTTTTGGAGTGTAGTTTGTTGTTTGATTGGTAGGGGCCATTAAAAGAAAATTGTTATATATTTTTTCTTTTTATGGAACCTGATACTTGATTAATATTTGTGAAGTAGTTGATAGTGTATATGAAAGTTTCAGGCACTCCGTGAGCATGTTTCTGGGCTCTCTATTTTCCTTGTCCTTTTTATTTCCTCTTTTTAACCTACTAGGTAGATAACAGGTTAATACCAAATAACCTCTTTGGTAGTTTTCGCATGAGAAAACTGATAGATACAAGCAGCTATAGAACACAGCATAAAGAGCTCCTTCCACTTCCTTTGTCTTCTGTGGTGCCGGAGCCATCTATTACTGAACTATATCACCATCCCTTTTTTTTTTTTTTTTTGCTTTAAAGTCAAAATAGTGTAACTAGATGTGGTGAACACCTAAGCATAGCACTAGTGAGGTAGGGGCAGGAGAATCAGGAAGGAGTTCAAGGTCAACCACATCTTATAGAGTACTTGAAGCCAGCCTGAGCTACATGAGACCCTGTCTCAAAAACCATAACCAACACAAAAATCCACCATCTTGCACAATGAATATATGCTATATATTTTTTCTGTGTAGTGATTATATGCTAACAATAATAAAAGTTTAAAGAATTGAAGATCAGATATGAGCACATATCTGTAAATCTCAGCACTCTGGTTATTGAGGCTTGAGGCTGGTGAGTTTAAGATCAACTTGGGCTACAGTAGTGAGACCTGTCTCAAAAAACAAGACATCAAAAAACAAAACAGAAAGGCTGGGTGATGGTGGCACACTCTGCTCTTGGGAGGCAGAGGTAGATGAATCTCTGAGTTCAAGGCCAGCCTGGTCTCCAGAGTGAGATCCAGGACAGCCAGGACTATACAGAGAACCTGTTGTGAGACAAAACAAAACAAAAACCAAGCAAAAAATTCCCCAAAGTAGTGAATTTTCAGTAAGATCCTTTAGAGCAAAAGCATTGGCTTATTCTTGAACAGTGTTCATCATTTTGGACTTGGAACACACAGATGTAGAGTAGAATTGCTTCCAGTACTAATTGCCTGGGATTCTTGCCATTTAAAGTCTATAGAAAATAATGTTCCGAGACTTTGACTTTACTTATGTGAGGAGTGAGAGAGACCTTGTTAGTGAGATATTCTATAGAACATCCCCAAATAGGGAATTTTGATCTTACTTTAAAAAATTATTTTTATGTATGTGTGTATGTCTGTGTGTACCACATGTGTGCAGCTGCCCCTGTAGGCCAGGAGCTGGTGTCAGGTCCGCTGGAACTGGAGTTACAGGTGGTTTTAAGCTGCTTGATGTGTGTGCTGAGAACTTCTGGTCCTCTGGAAGCTCAGCAAGCACTCGTAATCACTGAGCTGTCCTGCCAGCTCCCTGGCCCCCCTCCCCCCCTTTTTTTTAAAGTTTTTGAGACAGCATTTCTCTATGTAGCCCTGGCTATCCTGAAATTCACTCTGTAGACCAGGCTGGCCTTGAACTTGCAGAGATCCAGCAGCCTCTGCCTCCCAAGTGCTGGGATTAAAGGCACATGCCTCACCGCCTGGCCCTCTCCATGTTTAAAAGAACAGCATCCCTTACCCCATTATTGTGTGTTGTGTCATGGCATATTTTGGAGGTCAGCGGATAGCTTTCAAGAGTTAGTTGGTTCTCTTTTCACCATAGGTCCTGGGGGTCACAGGTCTCAGGCTTGGCAGGAAGCGCTTTACCCACTGAGCTGTTTCACAAGCCCAGTGGTGTTCCTTTTCTACTGCAATTAGCTTCCTTCTCATTGTAGGTTGTTTGGAGGAAGGAAATTATGGGAGGAGTCAATCACAAGAGCACTGCCAATTCTTTTGACACTCAAAAGGATAAGCATTACCAATCAGCCAATAAAGTGGCATCATGGACACACTGAGAAGTGTAACTCTGTCTTGATTGAGAGCATTACATTATCATTCTGTAGAGCACAAGATTCCTGTAGGCTCCAGTGTGTGGGTAAGGAGGTAAGCTTAGCCAGGGCTTCTTTTACCTCTGGTCTGTCAGTTCATGTCAAGTTGTTCTTGTGGCTTCAGTTAGTTTAAGTTGAGATCAAATATAGGGGCTGAATACATTTTGGAGATGGTTGGCATGTGGGAGATCAGATTACATTACAGAACCTTGGCAGGACAGTGCCTCTTAAGGGCAGACTTTAAGATTTAAATGTTGTACGAGATTATCTAAGGAAGTAGGCCCTGTGTTGTAAACCGTGTGGTGCTGCGTACTGCTTGGGACTGTTTGTTGTAGCTATCAAGCCTGAAAGCTGGGCACGGGCCCGCTTGCCTTCTCTACAAACAGCTTTCATGATCTAACTAAAACTTGCTGTGGAGAATGCAGGAAGAGGGAGAATATATTATTTTTATTTGGCACGTTATTCGTTTTCTAATAGACCCCCCCCCCCAATAAAGGGACATACTTAACACCGCGTTTCAGAGTCTCTTAGGGTTGAAAACCACAGCAAGAGAGTGAATACTTCTCATGGGTGGTAAGTCAGGTTTACACAACTTTAAATATAGCTCATATTTTGAGAAAAGCTGCCAAGGTTGTGGTTCTTGGAGAACAAATCAAGTTTAGCAATTCACCAGGGAGGAAACATTTAGTTTTGTGGGTTTCTAGTTTGGATAGAGTCAGCCAAAAGATCC